GCTGTATCTTGACAGGTCAACACGTTTTTTTGCTATGGTTACTACTCAACTCTGTAATCACATTCGGTAGGGGCAAAAAGCCCTTCCTGAACCGTGTTAAAAGGTGTAGCACACACAGAGCCTGAGAAATGGTACTCCTCCTCTCTTTGATAAGAAAACTGATTCTAGTACTCGGACAACTCCCCTGATTTTGATCTGCTTATCTGACCCTTGCCCTCAGGAAATCTGGCAGCATATACTGTTTTATCACAACTGTCTCTAGCTTGTGGGCTATTTCTCATGGGTGCTCATGTCTTTGCTAAACAAAACCATGCCTAGGCCAGGATTACTCTCAGTTGTCAGCCTGAAAAGCCACTTTCTATACAAAACAGCAAACTACCACTTTTTTTTTCACTATTGTCTGACACCGGCTGCTCTTTAAATACAAAGCTGCTCAGTCAGCGAGCTACTCGGTGGCAGGAGAGAGTGGACTTACCTCCCTCAGCAAGTAGATGTCATGCTCACGCAAACCTGGAGAGCAGAAGTTCCCCTCAAATCTACCCCCTGCAATGGGAGTATAAATTTGTAGAGCGTTGCATTTCAGCACTAAGAGATTGATAGTTTCTGTATCACTTCCTGGAAATACTCAGTATAACAAGATCATTTGTGTTTTGTGGATTTTATGGACAGTGTTTTTTTTTTTTTTTCCTAGAAGCCGTAAGTGATTGCAAATTCTTTCTTCCGTGGACTCTGAAAAATGCACTCAAAAGTTTGCATCAGATGGTTTAAAACTGAGGATCAGCAATGTCAGGCCTTGTACAACTTCTCCTCCAGATGCCTGCAAGCTACTTGAAATTGCTAGAGCTCCATGACCTTGTGCCCCCCACCCTCCACGAACTGGGTCATTCAAGCTCAAACACAGCTGCCAGAGGGGAGCTGGGGACAGGTACCAGGGGCAGGTGACCACACATTCACCTCTGCTTTAGGAAAGGCTAAAGTGGGAGAGTGGGCAGGGGAAGGCTAATGTCTTCCTTCAAGGCAAGTCCGCTTCTGCGTTGTCCGTGCAATGCACTGTTCACTTTTTGAAACTGCCCTTCTGGTCAAGGACTCATATATTAACCAAGTTAGAAGTTCTGCCAGGAAATAACAAGGATACCATGCATTTCAGTAGTGCTTTTCATCAGATCATTCCTACATACTTTACAAACAGAATTAATGAAGCCTCACAACATCCCTGTGAGGTAGGTGGAAATTCTTACGCCCATTTTACAGGTGGAGAAAACAGGCACTGAGAGATAAAGTGATTATCACAGCAAGTCAGTAGCAGAGCTGGAAATAAATCTAAAGTTATTATTCTAGAGCACTCTAGTGCTCTAGACACTAGAGAACACCAACTCCCACATGCTATTGTAAGCTAAGACACTACTTTATTCTTCTACGCTCACCTGCGCTGGTGAGGTTGACACTTGCATCTTGCACCCCTTGCAGAGCACCCTGTGATCCGTTAACAAACTGCAGAGGGAAGCCAAGGGGTAGGCACGCTTTTACACAAGCCCGACACACTGCCTGTCCAGTGGCCTCCTCCTTCCCAGTAAGTTAACGTTCCCTGCTCTTTACATGTGTTTCCAGGTTTTGCTTAATCATCTGTTAATTCGAATCATACACTGAATCCACCGCTCTGAGGCTGTTGCACAACTTCACTAGCAAATTATCCAATAAATGATTAAATTCATCTCACTGAGGGGGAAAGAAAACACATTTACATGCTTTCACCTCCAAAAATAGCAATAATCCTTTGCTCATCTATAGGGCCTTCCATCCAAGGACCTCCTACTAACACAATATATTGAGCCTCACATTATCTTTGTGAGGTAGAAAATTATTCGCAGTTTAACAAGAAGGAAGAGTGATTTGCTGACAGTCCCAGAGTGTATTCATTGTAGAGATGAGGCTACACGCCAGAAAACCTGAGTATGAGTCCCCTGCTTGGTTTGCCAAGAAGCACTGCCCTGATTCAGCAACTCCTACTTGGTGGCTAGGAGTCATTAGCAACCTGGCAGGGCACTTGAAAACTGTCTGGGAAAATAAAAAACTAAAAAACAAAACCCAACAAGCCATTGACTGAATGCAGGAGGAAAACATTGGCCTATTGCATTGTGTTGTCCTGGCCTGGGGGAAGAAATGAACTTTGCTTTGGCTGCTGTCAAAGACCTACACCGTGTCCCTCAAGTAGATTGCAGTGTTTAACTGAGGCAACTCCGGTGTAAGGGAATGAAATTTCTCGTGATTAAAGACATGTACCTCTGATGAACAAGCAGTCACTGTTAAGAGGCCTGATGATCTAATGACAATAGGCATGTCAGAGGTCAGGAACTTGGATAATTATTAAACACTTCAGATGTAAAAGGACCTGTCAAATAATTACAAGTAAATAAAGTGGAGGAGCAATTCATCTAGTCCAGTGTATTAATAGCTGGCAGGTCAGATCCTCTGAAGAGGATGGAAGATACCTGATATTGAACAGATAACAGAATATTTACCTACAGGGAAATGTTTCTTATCGCTTTCAGCTAGTGGGTTGTTTTATGCTTAGGACCATTAAAGCGTTCTTACATCTTTTTCTGCAAAGAAAATAGAAAGTAATACATCCTATCTAGTGTAAACATGTGGATTTTGCTACTTATTTAAATCTTTGCCCTTTCTTGAATT